TCCCTCTCTGCTATGTATGAACATATGTATGTTCTTATGTTTTTGTATATCTATCATCTACTTACCTGAATTGAAGAAACCAGGTTGTTTGCCTTGTAGAAATGCCCACAGTCTGGATTTATACCATTGTCTTCACCTCCCTGCCTTTCCAACCATGTGTCTCTGACACCTTAAGTTGGTGGTTAGATCTGTAAGCTTCATCTGACTCAGTTTTTCCCCCTTCTCTTTGGCAAGATTACTACATAGGTAGAGTTGTGTTACCTCCCTCATGAGTTACAGAAGAGGTACATAACATCTCGTTGTCGTTTTTGTGTAAGTAATGTTAACAGTTATTGGTGATCATTGCTTAAGATCTATTAATTTATTAGGGGGTTGCAAAAATGGTGATACTCTAACTCTTCCTATCTTCATTGCAACATAATAAAGAGAAACTGCCATTTTTAAGACTTTGGTCTCTCTGAGGTACAGTACGTATAGGAAGGGCAGGGAACGTTCTTAATTTTTTAACTAGTTTTCAAAATAGTGAGTGGGTTCTCCAGCATTCTTCTCTGGGTTAATGCATTTTTTGTTGTGTGTGTTATGAGGACCAGTATGAGCTCATGGATTTCGGCATTTCTTAGGTGCCTCAATTTATTACAGTTATTTTTCTAATGCCAAACTTTGGTCATCGTTAGCCAGTGGGAGTCCTAAATCCCTTGCACATACTCTAAGAGTCTTTCTAGATCCCTTGCTTTCTGGAGTGACAAGATATTTCTGGCTCTTGTACTGGTCTTGCCCTGCCCTGGAATCAGCCCTTTCTCCTTGTAGCCCTGGCTCCTTTTAGTGGGAAATGGTGTGTAGAGACTATAGTCCAGGTGCTAGAGGAGATCATTGCTGTGGGGTTGGTTATTGTTTCTCTACTTTGATTGGACCAAGCTAAAATACACTTTTTTTAAAAAAAAGGTAAACAAAATCATGAGTGCTTTTGGGTATTGACAGTGCAAACCATAATGAGGACACTAGTGTTCTCTCTCTTGTGCCTAATTCCAGTTCTCAATGAAAACATAATTATTCATTTTTTTATCTTACAGTATCAACACTCTCACCCATAATGTGACTTCTGAAAAAAAAAAAAAAAAGATTTTCTTGCAGGTCGTATAGCCCTGTATATCACATAGAGAACGTATTTTCAAATTATCTCATTTAAAACCACTTTTAATCACTTTTTTTGTGTGGTTATGTCAACAACTGGATGGGTATATATTTAGGTACCTTTGCTTCATCTTACTCTGACATTTTAGGAACTGCTTCTTAAAAACATAGTTGTTCTGTAATTCAGTGTAATGTTTTTTCTTTGGTTCCAAAGTCAAATGAACGAAAGAGGCTGCTTTTAAAGAAAGCTTTTATTCTTGTTCCTTCTACTCTATCCCCCTTCTCCTTTTAGAGGCAGCTTTAAAAACAACTTTTTTTTTCATTTTGTAAATACAGTTAATTTTCCCGGCTGTGCAGGTTGTCGGGTCTTAGTTTCATCCTCAATCTCAGGACTTGGGGTTCCTGCGGGTTTTGGGGCCTGTGGTGCGCAGCCCTGACTGAATCCCTGTGGAACCTGTCAGGTGCCGCGGTGGCGCAGGAGGAGGATGGTGGTGCTGGATGGGTGAGTTTCTTGCCCATCCCGCAAGCCGCGTCTCCCTGCAGGCTCGTCCAGGGCGAGGCCGCTGTGCAGTGCGCAGGACAACCACTGGTCGCAAGAGGACGCAATGCATGTCTAGCATCTTGATGCTGTTTCCCGAGACGTCCTGCTTTTCCTCCTTGTCTCTCATCCTTCCCAACTCTGCCTTTGTCTCCTGTGCCATGTGCCTAAAAATGAGCTGCCTCTACATCTTTTCCCCACAAGCTCACTCTTTTCTGCCTGTGTGTTTCGCTCAAGCATTTTCTCTGCGGTAGCTTGTGTCTGTTTCCTGTGTCTTATTTTTTTTCTCAGGAATCATTTGTGGTAAAGTTGGGCAAGAAACATTTCAAGTGAATGGGGAAACACGGAGGAGGACCGTGCCCGCTGGGGAAGTTTTAGCATTCAGCACAGCATTCAGCCATGTAGTAAGTTAGCCTGAGAAGCAGGGGGGCGGGCCCACCTGTCAGGTGCCTTATGGAGGCTGGGTACCCAATATTCCATTAAGAAATATCTGCCTCTTTGCCTCATAGACTCAGAGAGTCTATAGAACCTTGGGCCTTGCGGCCCATGGTATTGTATTTTTAAAGATTTTCTTTATGTTTGGAGAGGGGGGAAGGGAAGGAGAAAGAGAGGGAAAGAAATACTCATCCATTGCCTCTCGCAACGGGAGACCTGACCCTCAACCCAGGCGTGTGCCTGGATTGAGACCTTTTGGTTCTCAGGCTGGTGCTCGATCCATTGAACCACACTAGCCAGGGCTCATTTGGGCTCTTTTAGGAATGCCTTAATGGCTTCACAGTTGAGAAGTCTTGTGAAGGAACAAGGACTGCATTCTAGTTGGTTCGTGGGAAGAACTTTAACCAGTTCGTAGACTAGTTTCGAAGATGAAGGGATTGCATGAATAATTCTTGACCTTGTTCCTGCTATCCGGAAAGTTAAAAAAAAATCCCCCTCCCCCCAGTTTTATTGAGAAATAATTAAGAAATAATTATTGTAGTAAGTTCCGCTAACATCTTTTCACATAGATACAATAAAAACAAAAGAAAAAGGGAAAAAAAATTTGTCTTTGCTACAAGAACTCAGGATTTACTCTTAACTTTCCTATATAGCAAAGAACAGCGTTAGCTATCATCTTCCAGAAGGTTTTAATTTGGTTACTTTCAAGTTTTATAATGCATATTTTCCCAGTTGTTCTGTTTCTTACTTGTTGAGGATCGAGATCAAGAGTGGGCAGATGAGTGGGACGGTGTGGCCATGACTACTCATGTGAGCTTACTTGCCTGACTGGATGGTTAAATTCCATCTCTCAGCAGAAGAGTGAGGATGCCGAGATGGCAGTGACCCGCCCTCTTTTTGCACGGGGCTTGTTGCGATTATCAGTGTTCTCTATGATGGGTGACAACATTCTCAACATTCTCTTGTAATTGTACCCACATCAGGCGTAAGTAGGAGCTGAGTAACAGGCAACACTGACTCCTAGAGAGAGCCCTAAGTTCTTTGAAAGCTTGGGGTGGTTGGCGTTACCTCGGGGCTCCTGGCGGACCACCCCGTGATCACGTGCTGCTGGCCTGGGCAGCCCCCGGCTAGACCTGGGTTGGGACTGCCCGTGCGTGCAGTTAGACATTCTTTTTTTTGTGAGCCTCTGGCTTTTTTTAAATCTCAGTAAACTCTTACTAAAGTCTGTTTTACGGCCCACTGTATTAAGGTTCTCCCATAAATTACTCGTGCCTCTCAGGGTGAATGGAAGGGCATGCTGGAAATGTAACAGTGGGTCTTTGTGTTCTTGAGATCTGATCATCTTACTCATAATTCTTCAACTCAACCATGTTCCCTTCCCTCTATAAGGTGGATGGAAACTTCCATGAGCTCTTGGAAGGTGAAGCCTGTGAACATGTGTGTGCACATGCATACGCAGGACAGTGGGGTTGGGGATTAATGTCACATCCATTTGAGGGATGGGGACTTCCTCCTATAAATATCCTGATAAGACACCATTAGTCGGTTGAGAAGAAAAGGCGTGTTACTGTTGTTTCTTGTTAATTTTTTTAGACTCCCCCTCCCTTCTGTGCATGGGTTCCTCACTTCAGACGGGTAGGAAAGAGCTATCCAAGGCAAACCTGCCAGTTGTGTACATGTCCCTGTTAATAAGGGGGGATTGCTTAAAAGGAAATGCATGTTTCCAGCTCAAGTTCTTGAAAGATTTCCAAATTTTTGGCATTTTGTCTTTGGAGAAGTCTGCAGAGGAAATGGTGTCGAGGGCCTATATGTTTAATTTTGGTGACTTGGACTCGCAGTGAGTGTTTGGTTTTCTTTGATAGAGGAGAAGTGCACCTTACAAGGGAGGAAGTATTGGTAGTTTATGGGATGGAGTGGCCATTTGCCCGGGAGGGGCAAGTTTTGCTGTTTCTTGGCCTTCAGTCTTAGGGAAGAAAAGTACTTTCCCTAAACCTCATACAGGAAGTAAGCCCAATGGCTCCCAACTCACTGGCGCAGGAGTTTAAGTTTTGCCTTGGGGAGTAGATGATTGATATTTTTCAAAACCAGCACCCTCAATGTGTACCTGACAGAGAACCACAGATGACGTTATTTCCTAGCTTGGCTTTTACCGTGTTTGATTTTTAACTCCAAAGAGGTAGTAATTTGGGGGGACATCCCAGGTTCTAGAGGCTGGAGATGAATCACAGCAACAGTCCATGGAGCTGATAGCCTTGGGACCTCCCAGGCCTGGTTCCTTTAATACTTGAACAAAACTTTCTTTTTACTATTCCGGTGGAAGCTGGGTGTCATTCTCTTGAGTGACCGGCATGTTGAATTTGGGGTGGGACCGCTCAGAGGGTTCTCTCTTCTGTTCTGTGTTTGCGCCACTATCTTAGTTCATAAAGTGTCTTGAAGCAGGAGGTGGCAAGAGTGTGCCCCTTGTTAGGGACCCAGTCTTGGCTTTCCTTTGGGCTGGGACACCGAGAGGGCAGAGGCAACGGGCCAGGCCGTCTGTATGTAGGCAAATTCTTCACCCTTCTCTTGTCATTTTTCTCCATATTCGTCTGAGGCCATAGCTTATTTGACATTTTGCTAATGCATTCCAAAGCACCGGCTGTAATGTTTATTGAGCACTTACAGTGTACCAAGCACAGTGTACCAAAGCTTTGTTGTCTTTGAACGTCTAATTTTGGCTTAAGGTTGAGACTCCTATCTGCTTCTCATGAAGAAGGAAGTAGTTTTCCTTTAGAATAGTGATGGATGCAGCCTTTTTTATATGCTAATAATAGTAGAGCTGTGTTAAGAAAAACTGGTACAGCTTGTATTTCTAATGAAGATTCCACCCCGTCCCCCCTCCTTTTTTTTTTAATTTTAGGAAGGCGCCAAAGTAATCCAGCCTATATTTTTGGGGAAAATTATAAATTATTTTGAAAACGACGCCACTGACTCTGTGGCCCTGCACACAGCCTACGCCAACGCCGCGGTGCTGAGCTCCTGCACACTCGTTTTGGCCATTCTGCATCACCTGTACTTTTATCACGTTCAGTGTGCGGGCATGAGGCTAAGGGTAGCCATGTGCCATATGATTTACCGGAAGGTAAGTGTTATTTGACATCAAAATGGGCGCCTCACCTGAAGCATCAGAGGCACTTGGGGACAGTTCTACATAGTCTAAACATTTTTTAAATAGAACCATTTAAACCTTTCTTAGAGGAGCTTCATGTTTGCATTAGGCCTCCCCCCGCCCCCCACCCCCCTCCGCAAACTTTACCAATATATAGTGAGTTTTCTATAGTGGTCAAGTCAGGACTGCCTTTGATAGCATTTGACCACAGGCTGTTGCCAAAATACTAAATTTGTAATGGAATCTAATTTGAAAGAGTATCAGGTTGGTTTAGACATGACAAATTTTCAGTTTTTATGCCTAAATCTCATGGGTGTATTTATGGAACTTTTGTTGTTGTTGTTCGTTAACACCTTCATTTATGTCAAAGTTGTATTTAAAAGTGACCATCAGTGAAGCTGGATCTATAAAATGAAATCTAGGACAAAAGATGTACTGAATATTTGAGAAAGGGAATGATGATATTTTAAAAAACGAACCATTTAATTATGTTCAATATAATTTTGTTAACTAAAGAAAAATATAAATGAAAGCCAAATATAGACTCACTCACTATATTTTATAGTTATGGCTGCCTTTAATAGTATAAAAGAAAAAAATGGATGTTTGGGGTAAAACTTTAAATTTTATATTGTTTTAGTAATTTTGGAGAGAAAGAATGAGTTCATTTATTTTATGTTGCTTATTATATACAGTATTTTCTTTTCCTTCACTTTGCGGGATAGCAGTTTTAGTGATTAAGACCCAATTTGATGTGTTCATTGTTTCTATATTGAGAAATATCATGCAATTGTCCCCTAATTTACCCTGATCTTAACTTTTATAAAAGGAGCGAGGATTTCAGGTGTCTTTACAAAGGAGTTGCCACAGATGCACCAGTATCAGGAGCTGAAGAACTCTTTATAAACTTGATCCTAGAGATTTTCTTTGCCCTGGACTGTTTGCTTTAATGAAACAAAAACAAAGAAACAAAAAAACCAAATAAGTCCCAATGTAACAGTATGGTATACTGTTTGCTAAGAGAGTAGACCTTGTCTTGGCTGGTGTGGCTCAGTGGATTTGAGTGTCAACCTGTAAACCAAAGGGTTGCTGGTTTGATTCCCAGTCAGGGCACATGCCTGGGTTGCAGGCCAGGCCCCCAGTGAGGGGCTCACGAGAGGCAACCACACGTTGATGTTTCTCCCCCTCTTTCCCTCCCTTCCCCTCTCTCTAAAAATAAATAGTAAAAAAAATCTATTTTTTTTAAAAGAGTAGATCTTAACTGTTCTGATGCCCTCCTTACCCCCAACAGATAACCATGTAAGGTGATGGATATGTTAATTAGTTGGACTATAGTATCCATTTCCTGATGTATATGTGTGTCAAAATATCATACTGTATATCTTGAATATACACAATTTTTATTAAAAAAATAAAATCCTCATTGAAAGATGAATCCCGACAATGTAAGTATTGCCTCTTTTACCTAGTTGCTACTTATATAGGGCTTCTGTTTCTTGTGACTACTCTTCTTGCAAAACACAAGATGTCTTCTCCCCATGTTCCTTTGAGCAGAATGGTAATGCCCTTGGAATCGCGGGACTTCCGGAGGCCCGGCATCTCATCGCCTGTGGGAGGCCACAGCATGGGAGTCCGCTTTTCTTTCCCCTTCTGTGACGTGGCAGTGGTCACAGGGCTGGTACGCTCAAGTCACAGGGTCTTTGCTCAGTCAGGGGGTCTTCATTGTTGTTATCATCACCTCCTCTATTACTTCTGCTGCATTCCTTTCTGCCATTTAGGAGAATACTCAGATTTCTCTATGAATGATCTAGATTTAGTATTTCCAGATCAGATCAGGCTTAGCCTCCCGAAACAAATAGGAAGTTTCCCTAGCACTCGACTGTGAAGACTTCAGACACGGAGGCCAGGTCTGTGGCGGCGGCGGCTGAAAGCCCTGTGCTGCGCAGGTGTTGTCTGCCTGCTGTTCTTGCTCTCCGCACAAAGCGTCTCCTGTGGGAAAGCCGATCTGACTTGGCACATGCAGACGTCTCCCATGGTTATTCATTTGCCGGCTTGATGAGCCTAAAAGAATTGACCCTTTACTAAGTCAAGAATTGCTTGGGTTAAACCATGGGCGTAACCTGAAATTCCAGAAATGTGGGAAAGACAGATTTCCTCATGCACTGCCTTGTACCTAGAATCTGGCCGAGGTGAAGAAATATGGTACTTCCTCCTCACAGGTGGGGTGATTCCTTAGGGCTAAAGCTGCCGCTCAGGCCCTACCTCCTAGATTCCCGCCCTGGGAGAAAATCAGGTTGGCTGTTAAAAATGGAATGGCTGTTAAGCTCATAGTCACAGTTTGCAATATTGAATGACTTGGTGGGATGTAGCGTATATAAAAATGATTTGTCATTTGTTTACCTTGGCACAGCTTTGGCAAACTTACATATGGCTTTTGAGCATTGATTTTTTTTTTACCGTGGTAAAATGTGCATGATGTAAAATGTACCGTTTTAACCCTTCTTCAGCGTACCGTTCAGTGGCACTGAGGACATTTCCCATTGTTGCGCAGCCATGACCACGGTTGGGCGCCAGAACTTTTTCATCTTCCCAAACTGAAACTGTTCCCATTCAACGCCCACGCCCCAGCCGCTCTCCGCACTGGCATTAGCAGTCTACCTCCTGCTCTGGGTACCTAACAGAAGTGGAACCATACAGCGTTTGTCATTTTGTATCTGGCCTATGTCTTGTAGCACAATGTCTTCAAGGATCATTCACATTGTAGCACGTGCCGGAATGTAACTCCTTTTGAAGGCTGAGAGTCCACTGCAGGCCTGCCTCTGCCCCGTATTGTTTCTCCATTCCCGAGGCAGTGGTTTGTTTCCACCGTTGGGCTCTTGTGAATAACGCTGCTGTGCCCGTGAGTGCACAGTGACATCTTTCCAAGCCCATGCTTGCAGTTCTTCTGGGTGTGCCCCCAGAAGTGGAGTTGTTGGACTGCACGGTAATATTATGTTTAATTTTTTGAGGTGCTGCCGTACTGTCCTCCCTAGTGACTACATCGTTTTACATTGCCACTTGGTCGTTTGATGTTTCTGTTTAAGTTGAAGACTACGTGAAGCAACGTTTTCATGACATACGACATTTTGTTTGTACCAGTGGTTGCAGCGGGCGGTCTGTTTCAACAGTTCATAGTGGTCTGTTCAGGTTCCTCCAAACTTCAGGGCGTTTGTCAGAACATTTTACCAAATAAAGGGATTGTGCAACGCAGACTGTATTTTTTTTTGGGGGGGGCGTAAAGTCAGCAGATTGGCAATAAGAAAACAAGTCCCTCACACCATAGTGTTTTAAACACTGTCCTTGCTCACTGTAAAAAGTTACCAGCAGTCACTGGCTACGTTGCCAGCATGGCCTGCCGTCACGTCTACAGCAGGGGCAGTGGCTTACTTCCTGGCTTTGTTCTTAGCTGGACACAGGAGAAGGAGGACCTGCCCAGCTTCACATCTCAAAGGGCTACTTCCCAGCCTAGAGCCCTGGAGGTGGGGGCGGGACAGCCGTCTCAATAACCAGGATGCTCTTGTCCAATTTCACAGAGGTTTTTTTTTGGTTTTTTTTTTTCATCATAAAATGCATGCAGTACAGAGATTTTTTCCTAAAGATCTTTGGCCTAATTGGCCCTCAGGCTCCCTGACTTTGTGTCCCGATTGGAGAGCTGTGGCGGCTGCCATAGTGGATCCTGGTGACGAGCAGCTTGCTCTGAATGCTGGGTAAACCCAGAGCCCTCGGTCACTGAGCTCACGGACACTGTTTGTTGCTGTGTGTTCCCTGGGGTGGACTTCCTGGTACAGCTGAGTCAGGGCGGCCAGACTTCTTCGGCCAAGACCTTGTCTTCACTCTTGTTAGAGTAACCTGAAGGATAGCTCGTGGGAGAGTATTTGTCCTGTGTTTCAACTTCTAAGGTGAGCCGACTCCCCGCAAACATCCTTTATCCTTCATTGTAGACCTGTCTTAGGAGAAGATCTGCACGGTCAGTCCTCGTTCATTCCCAGCTGGTGCTGAGCGAGATGACGCCCTGCCTTCCTGTTGCAGCTGTCCTACTGGACACAGGTGTCATTCTCACGGTCTCTTCCGTGACTGTTCTCTGCATCTTTGTGCTTTCTTGGGGGGGCGGTGATTTTGCTGTTTAGAGTGGTCCCACGCAGAGCACTCCAGTACTACCCAGGATTCCTAACCACAGGAAGACCGATGTGCCTGATGGGGAAATACCTGTGTTAGATGAGTTTGGTTCACGTATGAGTGATTTTGGCCATGAGTCCAGTGTTAGGAACCAATGATATGTATTAAGTAAGTTGTCTATAAACAGAAACAAGGTATGTATGTATTGCTTAGTTGATGGAAATGTTGTTGGCATAGACTGACAGAGATCTAACCCTGTATTTCCCTTCGAGCAATTAATGTTCACTCCTCATGTTCCCAGTGACTTTCTAGAACATAACTATCGTGAATACCGAGACGCGACTACTGATATTTATCCAGTACATTGCAAGGGGATGCCTTCTATAGATCAATATTCTATTTAAAGAAATATTTTTACTCACCTTAAGTGAGTGCATTTCTAATTGTTTAAGTGACGTCCAGATGGTCCCCAACGTAAAGATGGTTTAACGATTTTTCGACTTTACGATGGTATGGAAACCATTTGAGTTCACTAGAAAACATGCATCCAATGTTGAATTTTGATCTTTTCCTGGGTAGCGGCATGCGGGACGATACTCTTTGTGATGGTGAGCAGTGGCGGGGAGCGCGGCTCCCCTTCATCCACGCCATCGCGGCAGTCAGCCAGCACTGCTCTGCAGTGCCCTGTGCTGCCAGTGGTTTTGAATGCTGTGTTTTCCATTTTCTCCTTCTGTCCTGTCTGCGAAAGGCCCACCTGTGCATTCTGGTTCGGGTGAGAAGTGGAGGGCAGTTCCTTTGAAGTGAACCTCCAGATAATT